TGTTGTAGCCCCTCTGCCTTACACCCATCTCCTTCCTCCTCACTCCTCCATTCATCCTCCGAGGCAAAGTGACTCTCCTACACGTCTGTGCAGAGCAGTGTCACCAACGCCGCTCAGGACACTCTTGTCCCTAAGGGTGAAGGCAGCACCCACACGCCTGACCGTGCTGCACTGAGCCACGCAGTCAGCCCTGATGGCCAAGCAGCACCGATGCAATGCTCCATTCCAAAATGTTACTCAGATGCAACAGAAGAGCTGATCCAGCCTGAAACCCATCTGCTCAGATTTCAAATGAAGAAGTTACTTGCTCAGGTATAAAGTTTGACTAAAGAAAGAAAAAAGCGACTCAACACTTGGACTTGAGATTAAGCAACTGAGCGTGACAAATGGGTGAGTTTAAGGCTGAGGAGCGTCAAGCCCTGGGAGTTTCACAAAACTAATGGATCCCTTCATGATCAAACTTCCTGCCCAGGGTACTTCAGCAGCTGTAGGTGCAATCACAGATTCAGACCCTACGAGCTCCCCTTCCCCACCAGCAAGTCCTGGCACGGGGGAACTTGGACTTCATAACCCAGGCTGAGCCCGTGCCCAGAGCTGAGCCAAACCCCAGTGAGGCAAGCATAAAACATGTGCTAGAAGATAAAGTCACTATCGCCACCAGGAAGGAAGGGGCACGAGATGGAAGCACAAGAAAAATGTTTCTATGTTTGGCCACGGAGACATGAGTTCCTGCTATTAGAAGAGTTGGAGATGGTGCTCTGTCCCTAAATGTCAAGGAAATCCAGGGTGCGCTGCACTCTCTGTGGTTGGCAGCTTCCCCAAAAAGCAGCTTCCCCTTTGCTCCTCTCCTGTTGTGTCCACAACATGAACTGAGAGAGATGACGATGCTCCCATCGTTATGGTTGTCCAGACCGATCCACACCTTCCTGAAGGAAACAGCCTCGCTTGCACCACAGCAAGAGGCTTGCAGGGACAGGGTGACTTCAGCAACCCAAGCCTCTCCGTCCTCCAGCAATGTTTTCCCATTTTCTCCCTTCGCTAGAGGAAAAGCAGAGCAATCTGAGGGCTGGGTGCCCCCACGCCCCTGGCTGATGCGGGAATTGTTGCTGAATGAGTAAGCTGCAGCAAACAGCGAGGTTCGGTTCAGCGTTTTTGGAGCGCTCCCAGCTTCCCAGCATGGTGTGGGTCGCAGCACTGAACCCGGCAAGCACAAGCCAGAGGTAGCAAATCACCAAAAAAGGAAGAGCGCACAAGGCTTGTTCCTCAAGGCTGACATTTAGCAGCGGGGCACAGGTTTTGCTCAGCACAATGCTCAGGAAGTTCCATTTTTTTGGCAACAAATGTGCTACAAGATGTATTTTAACTTCCTGATGAGTCCCTCGCTGCCAGCAGCGGCGTGGAGGAGAAGGAACAGCCACGAAATGCCTGGACCCAGCAGGATGTGGTAACGCAGAAGGAATTTCTGTTTGGAACCGGCTGTTTGGCTTTGATTACCCCAAAGTATCTCTAATTATTGAAAACAGGTTTCAGACCTCTGGCACAGTGCTCCTGTGGCAGGGTCACGAGGATCTTACTCTTGCAGCTATACAGATCAAGGTCTTAACATCTCAAGGAGCTCTTCCTTCAGCAACCCACAGCAAGGCAAATGCTCTCCCCCTTTTGCTGACAGAGAAGAACCAAGTTGAACGTGCCCAAGATGATGGCAAAGCAATAAAAGCTCAGGGTGTGGGGAAGACAACACCACAAATCTCTTGGCACCATCTCCCAGCTAACGCAATACTAAGACATGAGTCCAAAACCAGCACTCGCTGGCATTCTATCTCACACCGCTCCCGACAAGCATGAGCTGATCGTTCCTGGAAGCACATCTCAGCGGGGATTACTGCAAAGATTTAGATGAGAGCTGGCACGCAAGTGAAACGCACTGCGATTTTACACAACGCATCGCAAGGTGAAGGTGCCAGGTGGGGGTGGAAGACACTGGCAAGGCCAGAGCAGCTCCAGACTCCTGCAGCATGGGCTGCCAAGATGGAAACATCACCGGGAGTGACGGCACTGAGGTGACGGCCAAGGTAGAGCAAGGCCGGGTCCCAGCAGACCCAGGCGGCTGACGCAGATGCTCAGCAGGGTGGCCAGCAGACTGAGCCCCTTTCAAGTATGTCCCGACTGCATATTTATTCCCTGTCAGTGTCTGGTTTCCTTTGGCCTTCCCAGATGACAGAGGAGGTTTTGCATTTTCACACCACTGGAGAGCAGATGACGAACTCCTTGCTCAGAGCCTTTGCTCCAAAGGATCACTGAATCATTTAGGTAGGGGGAAAGACCTTTAAGACCATGGAGTTCAACCAACTTAACACTGCCAAGTCCACCACTAAGCCATGTCTGACAGTTGTGTCTTGTTCCCCAGACACCGATTCCTGAAATGCTGTGAATGCAAAGCAAGTCACTCCCACAACAAGGACCTGGCTGTGCTCTTCAGCCGAGGAGGAGCATGGGAGCCAGCCAGGCAATGGGGGCCTCCAGCAGGCGTTGAACAGCACAGCAGGGTCAGCAGAGCTCTGCGGGTCGGTTCCTGCTCCGAACTGGGATCTGTACTGGTGTCCTGTGAGTGCCTCGGGTATGAGCACAAGCGAACCCTCCCCACAGGGAACAAGTGAAGGTGGCTGAGATCTCTTGGTGAATGTGTCTGCAGTTTGATATGAAGCAGGGCACAAGAGGCCCAAGGAGCAGTCCCTCTTCAGAAGAGGGTCTGATAAAAGCAGAGTGATTCAAAGCTTCTATTTGAATTTCCTCATCTTTCTTATCAGGGATATAAATGATAGGGGGAGATGTAATGGAGGCTGCTGCCCCTCCAGCAACTGCTCAGGCACAGCCCACCAAGGTAAAGCCTTCAAAGACCCAAGCACTCCGCTGTGTGCTGGGAAGGATGCTAAGGCAGCTCTGCAACTCCCAGACACCCAAAGATCTGCAAGAAGCTGGAGCTGCCCAACTCCCAGCTGCAAAACATCTGGGCTACATCGTCTGCCTGGATTCCAGGACATAAACTGAGTACGGCTTCTACTAGAAGCTACTGGATGGTTCTCAGCTATCACTCTCTGAGCATTTCTGCCCTTTCCCAGCTTTTCATCATGCTGTCAATAATTCAGCAGGGCACACTGCTGTCAACTCCTCTCCCACACACAAAGCAGAAACCAGTTCCAAAAGGTCCCTGTTTTCCAGGGCTATCAATCCCTTCCCTTTCCAGCAAATAAGGCCAACTCAGACCAACAGTTTCTGCGCACAAAGGCTGCCTATGGAAGACACAAATCAACAAAATAACTCACTTTGTCCTGAATCTCTACTAAGCTTGCCGGGGATGAGGGGCACAGAAAAGGGCCTAACTGAAATCTGTAGAGGACAGGAACTGCCACGGCATCTCCTCTCTCACACGTGACCAGCATGGCACTCACAGCCATCCCTCTGGATCCAGCACACAAGGGTAGGAATCTCCTGCCTGCTTCAAAAACAGCAGCAAACGCGTTGGGCCCAGCTCTTTGTGACCACAGGATGCTCCAACAGCAGCTGCTAAGACCAAGGTGATGCCCAGTTGCTGGGGAGGGAAGAGCATCAGGGGGCTCCAGCAACTGAGAATATATCTGGGGACAGTGAGCCTCTGATGCAGAACAGCCAGCGCTGCCCCTCGGAGCACCAGGGCAGCCAGGCGATGTTTCCCAAAGCCTAACTGTGGTTTTCTTCCAGTCATTTTGCTGTTGCAATTCCCCTTCTTTAACTATAGTTTTCTTTGTCGGTGCTTGGTCCAGTCTGAACTACAGACCAGCATGATTTCTACTTAGTAGATCACCCTTCTCCTCACTTTGTGCACTTGAATAAATAAGATTTTTTTTACAAGTTTACTGTGCATTGTACAATCTAAAAATAAATGAAATAAAGCATATGAAATTTATATCTTTTCATCACATCTCTATAAAATACAGCCGCTGCTCCGAGCGGCACTTTCTGTACACAGAACACCAATTCACAAAACAATTCACTGCACCAGTTTGATAGTGCGGCAGCACGGCAAGCTAGATGGCGGTGTTTTTGTGAACTACCGTTTAGACCTACTTAAAGCAAAGAAATACCAAAGCAAAATGCACTTCATCAATAAATGCACACGGCTAAGCCATTTCTGAATCAAGTATCAAAAACCCTACTAACAAAATACATTTTACTTGGAACAAAAACAACAAGGTGAGAAAATCTGCTACCTGCACCAGTACAGAAGCGCTACGTTCAGTCTTCCCAACGTTGGTAAAAAGGGCCTGACCAACACCAGTGATTACGCACCCTGTTCATATGCCAATGAGATCCCAAAAAACAAGTTACCAGACTAGCTACCAAAATTCACAGTGACTTGAGTGCCACCAGCAACTGCAAATGGCCCAGTGAAGTAGTTATAATGGGGCAGGGCTTGAATTTCTCCTGTTCAAACTGTGCCTGCGCTGGCTGAGCTGGCCCGGGCCGCCCCAGGGGCTCTCTTAGCTGCCACTCCAGAGGGGAGCACGGAGCTCTCGTTTGTAACAAACGCAATTAAAAACCACCCAGTTAACAGAGCGCCTGGCTCAGTTCAATCAAAACGAGACATCAGGTAAAGACTGCCGTTCTCTGCAGCTCACACTGCTGCAAACCAAGCGGGTTTTGGTAAATGAACAGATTAAGTGGAATAAATAAACTGCAGACCTTTCTGAGAACTGGGTTTGGCATTGGTCAACCCTCCAAATTCAGCACCAAGGATTCAAACTAGAGGCACAGTTCTGACGGATGAAATAGCACCGAAAGGAGGCTCTTTACATCTCTGCTGGTGTGCCAGTCCTTTATAATTCAGAGAATTTAATAACAAGTTGTATTTATAATTTTAGGCGGAATAAAATAAGTCAAAAGTGTTTTCACTTTAAAAAAAGATAAATACTTTATCTAAACTATCAACAATACAAACTGGAGCTTTAAGCATTTCTTTTGCCTTTTTTTTGCCTTTTTTTCTTTTTTTTTTACTCAGATTCACAGTAAATATTTTTTTCTCTGTTGTTTAGGTCTTTTTGTGTTTTTGTTTTGTCCAGTAGTAAGAGTAGAAACCCCTGCACAGGCCAGGTGAGCACCTTTCAGTGGAAGCCGAGTGAAGTTGGTCCACGTTGTCCTTGCATAGGTCACATTGGGTTGAGGTAGAAATCCTAGTTACCTGCACAACAGGAGGAGAGGAAGAGACTCATCTAAATAAAACACAAAAATCTATGGTGTGTTAGTCGCGTCAATCATTTCACATTGCTCCCAGACCTCATCAGCCAGCACAGAAGGAGCACCTTGACCCAGGAAAGGATGCCTCCACGAGCGACACACACGCACATCCCGTCCTGGCTATTGTGGTTTTAAAGCTTTCTGACAGTGTCACCAGTCTGTGACTGACCTTGGGCACGGGGAAAAAAAGCACCTCACTCAGTATTTCACCTTTTTTCTAGCACACATTAATCTGCTTTGAATTTTTTATTACCCTGGGGGAGAAACATTATGAGAAGCAAAGCAGTTTATTTTAATCCCTGATTCCAGATTTCAACCTTGGTTCATCAAGGACTCTGAGCGCACGCATTCACACCAAAGTCAATGAAACCCCTCAAATATTTGAATTATGTTCAAGAGTCACATGGAGCAGGACCACAGCTACAGTACATCTGTCACATCATCTCCTGTCTCCTGGTGGCATTATTTCTGCTCCTTTGCTCCATAATCCAGCTCTGTCATCCAGCTACTCCTTTCTTTCTCCATCCATCACTTCGGTGCCTTGCCTATTTTGCCCAGGACCTTTCATGACAGGGACCATCACACCCGATGGCTCAATATGACCTCAATTCCAGGTAAGGCTTTCACACTGCTCTTGGCCTGAGTTGCTCACGTATCCAAAACCCCAAATCTAACCCTCCTCACCCCTTCTCCCCCATCTTGTTTCTATTCAGGGTGGTTTGAGCCCACTCTGTAACCACACCACACTTTCTTGTTCAGAAGGATGGAGGTAATAACTGTAATACTTACGTGCCTCACAAAAGCCTAATGAGGGTTTGTGCATGTCTGTGGAGCAATTTGATGATGAAGACGCTATACACAATGCACAGCCAAAAGAATCTCTCAGGTATATTGTAATTGAGTCATATGTTTTATAAGTGGCAAAGAATATTCAACCATATATTGTATTGTACGTAGCTTTGGTATCAGTGAACAGCAGCAACATCACAGACCTACAAGAAAAGCATGGAGCAAGCTCTGGGGCCTAACAGAACTGATTTAACTTTGCAAGCACAAGTCCTTACATCAGGATGCCACAGAGCATTTTCATGAACAACAGTACCCAACTCTGTGGTGGTACACTTTATTCTGGAGTCGCTCTGAAGGCATTTCAATACCTGCGTCAGTAAAAATGCATACATTGCGGCAACGCTCCTCTGTCTATGGCCCAGCCTTGACAAAGCATGGACCACAGTTAACCCTGCAGATTCCCTGTGTTCATTCACAGTCTACCCAGTAAAGCCAGTGATCGCCAAGTGAGCATAAATACAGCAGCTGATGGCTCCTGTTAGCCCTAGCAGGTAAGTCCAGTAAAGCTGCAGTGCACAGATATATCACAACACTTCTGTGCTACCTGTGGTTGTGTTTTCCAGTGATACAAGGGGCACATTAATTGCAGTGCAAGACCAGTGCATTTGCTCTCCAAGACAAAGCTGCAGAGCTCATAACCTAGAGATTTTTAACTTTAAGACTATTTAAAGCAGTTGTTATTGACTATGGTAAAAACAAGACCGCCACATTGCCAAGTACAGTCACAAAGCAGCACCATCACGCATCCTAATGCTATGCGGACATGGACTTGTGGAGATGCAACAGTCTGTGTCAGAGGGCAAGAGGGGAGAAGGGGATCAAAGTAGACAACAACCGCTTCCAGTAACTGTATAAAACCCTGTTTAAAAATAGACATTTCATCTTCAGAAATGATCATTTTCATGAAGTGATCCCAACCTGAACATAATCCTAACGGCAGATGAGACAGACCAAAGTTACCACTGTGAGCACTCCTTGTCGAGAAATCCTGACTCCCAGGACAGAAAGCACTGAGCCTCTCCATCCTCTGCCATCCCATTATTTGCTCCCCACATTTCAGAGGTTTCTCTGTGTCACAGAGCCCATCCCCAGCCTATCTCTGGAAAGGAAGAAGCATCATTCAGCATCTCGTACAAAACTCCTCTGTTTTTTTCTCTAGCCTTACCTTACAAAATAAGAACTGTTAGCTAAGCAAGCTCTTTATCGTGGCTTAACCCCAGAAAGGTGCGAAGCATAAGGAGACTGCATGCCAAGTGAAACCCACATAGCGGACGTGCCAGCTGCGTTGGACTGCGTGATCATGGGCGCGGACTGCGCCAGCGCCAAACGGGGCAGAGGCGGGTGATGGATTGTAAAGGAGGGGCGGGAGGTTTTGTGCTGGAGAGAAGCTAGTTTAATAGACAAAGAAGCATTAGCAGATTGGACAGAAGCAGCAGAAGAGGACGGCAAAAAAGCTTCGCCGGGTGAGATGGATGGCAGGTTCTGCAGAAGCGCAGGCTCGGGGTTAGAAGCAAGTAATGGAGGAGGGGGTGGGGGCAATGAAACGTTAGGAGGCGGCGGGGGGGAATGGAAAACAGATTGCACTGGCGCTCTGTTGAGGTGCTGAGCAGATCTAGTCTCACTAGATGTTACTAAATTAGAGGAAGGGGGTGGGAAGGATGAGGATGAGGTGCTGGCAACAGCCTGCAGAGGGTTTAAGCTTAGCACTGTGCTGCTAGAGACAGCACTGCTGCTGAAACTGGCTCCAAATTGATGAGGAGAGGAGGCAGAAGGCACCGCATGGTTAAAAATACCTGCAAACAGGAGAGAAAAACTCAGCTTCAACAGATGGGCTTTGTACAGTCTCAAGTGACAAGAGAAACAAAACAAAAAAGAAAAAAGCAAAATTATAATAGTTACAGCCTCATACAAAAATATGCAGCATGAGAAGGCAGCAAGCAATGAGAGATAATGGTGCAGGCCAGGAGGTACAAAAGGTTGCACTTACCTTTCCTACTGCCAACCTCTAAATGCCACGAGGAAAAATGGTCAGACCCAAGAACTGTCAGTTCTATACCACACAGGCAGACTTTGGATGAGATTACGTGGTCTTTAGAGTCGTTTATCTGCAGACTCAAACTGCTGCTCTTCCCTCCCCACCCTCCTGCCTTCCCACTTACAGGGCAGCAGAGGGGAGATTGTATTTCCAGCAAATCTACATGCTGAGAGATGGGAGAGTTAGGATTTCCCGACATGGTGCCTGAATGATTATGGACAGGTAAGAAAAACTGCCTTGGACACTCAGGAATGGCAGGCTCAGACTATCTTCTAGCCCTGCCAGCTTCTCCCCGTTTGGGCCACAGAAGCCAAGCCTGCGCAGAACCCCAGAAGTGCAAGGTGCATATGGCATTGCGCTTCGTGGCAGAGAAATGTTCTTTGTGTCCATTCAAGAGCCGGAATGCTACACAACTCCCAGCACCATCTCCTCTGAAGAGGCACCGATGTTTTGCTCTTCCTGGATCAAGCCCTGATCTCAACCTTTACTCAAGCTGATAAGTTAGAGATCCTTAACTTGGTACCAGGACAAGTTAAATCTTTTACCTGCAGGCAGACCTAAGTTGGTTCCAACACAGCAACATCTGAACAAGTATACATTATGAAATCACAAAGTCTGGGTGTATTCTTTTGTTAAGGTGATACAACAAGCTCATCTAGTAGAAAAAACTCATGAGATTTCAACTGTGGGGAACTGAATTCATCCTAGCATTTCCGAGAGACAGAGGAGACTGGTTATGTGGGACCAATCTGCTTCACATCCTGCAGGAAGAAAAGGGTTTCACCCCTGGAGAGGCAGCGTCAGACTTTCCTTTAGGCCCTGTCTTATACCAGAGAAAGAGTTCTGCCTACCTCCAACTGTTCCACCTGTAACCCCAGGAGAGAAGTTCCCCATAGTGTGAGAATTAGTCAGTCTGGTTGCAGCTGATGACACGTGGACCAGACTGGCAGCAGCTGGCATTGAATTAAATAAGGACTGCAATACTGAGGAATTTGTCACCGAGTTGAGGTTTGCTTGCAAGGCCATGGGGCCAAGGGGGAACTGCGATCCAGTGGTCAAAGTGTTTAGGAAAGGATGGTGCGTCGGAACAGAAGATGCTGGGTTGCCTGCTGAAGAAACAGCAGTAGAAAGGCTTTTACCATTCAGAAGGCCACCAGACGAAACAGCAGCAGAAATGAAAAGGTTGTGGCCGTTTTTAAACTCCACATCTCGGTCCCTTCCTTTGCCAACCTTTCCATTATGCTGCAAAGAGTTTTTTTCTGAAGAACCCCCAGTACGAATGCTTATTTCGCTGATCTCTTTGCCTTTGACCCCTGACCGATTTAAGTCTTCTCCTTTCGTGCCACCAAGGCCTTCGAGTTGCCTCTTGTTCAAAAAAGGATTCGTTTCTGATATTCCCACATCTTTGCTTCGCTGTGACTGGAAACCCAGGGAGCAGTTGGAAGCCGTCACGTCTGAAGCCTTATGCGGAAGAGAAGCACCATCGATAAAGCTGTGTAAACCAATGTCAGTCGACAGTCCACCGTTGTACGAGAATCCGTTAGTGGAGTTTGTACTGGGGCTGAGCCCATCTGCCCCGGACGAGGGCATGGCAATGCTTTTCCTCGTGTGTGCTGAGATCTTGGCATCGAGGGCAAGGCCATCCTCAGAGGACGGCCTGAAGGCAAACAGCGAATTCTGGCTCAGAGATGAAGCCGACTGCAAGGGACTATCTGTAGTTTTGGTCAGGTTGATGTCAGATATTGGTGAAAAAGTAGATTTCCATTTACTGCTATTCATGTTCTCATTGCTTTGTGCTTGTTTCCTCCCAGATAAGCTGCCACCTAGTTTGGAGGAAAATTTTTAAGTGTCAAAAACCAGCATTCACTGAATCTGCTCATTAAGAACAGGGTTTTCTCTTTCAACACCCACATTTTATCAGTCTGTAATTCTACTTCTGATCCAAAGGCAGAAATATTTGTCAAGTCATCTAAAAGTCCTTAAAATTTAGTTTAATGCTCTGAAAAAGTTTGAGAATGCTGATCGACTTTTTCCTCAGTCTCTGTACTACAGATCCCTCCCCAAACACTGAGCCAACAAAAAAAATGGTCAGATCTTTGGTGACTTCTGACTATAGACTGACTAAAAATCTGTAATTGTCAGACACCTGTCTTAATTATGACTATTCAAAGCCCTGGCAGAACTGCACTCTGCTCAGCGGCACAGAAAAGCCTGCTACTGGCTAACAATGTCAGTCAGTGGCAGGCACCCATTCCCAAATCCAATCATTACAACAAAAAAATTAACATTCCACACACCTACCATTTTCAACAGTCTTCTGGGGAGATTTGCTTTCCAGTGATATGGTTGCAATTTTCCTTTCAATTCTAGCAGGAAAACAAAAAGGTTATAGCGCTCATTGCAGACCTTTAGTTGCACATTTACCCTCATAACCCGTCTTCCTCATGTTCATGTCTTAACAGTTAACCAGAGCATACAAAGCCAAGGCAGCTAGAAAGCTGGATGTTACTAGAAGAACTTAAAAGCATTTTAAAAAAAGCACCACAAACTTTAAGTAGAAGCTATTACAGGATTTTCACCCGTTGCTAAGATTAGTGCACATTCAGACGACTTCACTGTTGCTTTTCTTTCACAACAAGAAGTAGGCTGTGGCTCACATTTCCATAGTGGTTACTTTTCTAGCACCTTAAACAAGAAAAAATTGCACCCTACAGGCAGGCAAAGGGTGGCAAGAACTCAATCTTCAGAGCAACACATCAACAGTTTGGGGCAGGAAGTCAGGAATTTTGAATCAAGTTGAAACTGGGAGTGAGCAGGAGACAGATTCTTAGTTAAAGATTACACACAGCTTCAGTACTCCTACAGAGCAGCGTAGTAACAAAATCATTTCTACACCAATTCTTTCACAGGGCAGACTCTATCAGCTTTGCAAATAACAGCAACAGTAGGTTCCCACATTCAAGTACTACTTTCTAAATACCTCCTCTCTTCACATTTTCAGCTTCCTAAGAGGCTCGGTGTAATGCAATCAGCCTCCAAGCAGAGCGAACAAAGGCGGCTTAACACACCTTTCCAGTTTAGAGCACCGTTATCAGCTCAGAGAAATCGCAGCCTAAATCCCACGCCTGTGTATTCACCTGCTGCTATTGTGCTCATCTTCAGATCCCTGCTCTTCATCCGACGTTAGAGGAGAGTAATGAACGCCGTTGGTCTGAATGAGGGGCTTTTCCTTTTTCAGTACCGGGGGCTGGTCATTGTCCTGGTAAGGAACAGGAGAGTTCTTCAGGGAGTTTTCAGGAGAGGAAATGGCTGTTATTTCTAAAGGCTGGTTAATGTTATTGACCTGGGCAAGAAGGAAAGAAAGCAGTTACAGATGAGAGCATGCTTTTAGAAACAAGGCGTCTTGTTAAGGGTATTAAAAGCAGGCTTAACTTGCTCAGCTGTAGGATATGCCAACAGCTGCTTGTTTAGCACTGCTGCTGTTACACTCCACCATCCTGCATTAGAACCTGGGATGAAAGCTTTAATATAATTTGGAAAACATCTAACTGTCATTCTTCAATTTCATGTTTAAAACACAGAAATGAAGACATGGGATAATCACTTTTTTTTCCCACACTACCACTGTAGGATCACATGAACACAACTCCTATAGCTGGCTTAATTATGCAAGAATGCCATATGCTCTGGCACACTAATGCTATTTAGTCAATCTTAGCTTCAACTATTTTCAAAATATTTAACCTACAGCCTAAAAATCAACTTCCCTGCAGAAACAAGCTCTTTGTCATAAGGGAAGATATTATTTTTAATTTTTAACACTCTGACAGCAAAGAACTCTTTGAAGATGTTCTACCTATACAAAAAGTTCACCAACTTCTCAGCAATTCACTCGCCTCTCAGAGGGGCCGTTCTCACAAAGGATCTTCACACCAATTCTAGCCCTGCAACAGCCTGAAAGTACGCTAAAGAACAGAAGAGTTGAGGCTTATTTCTAATACAAAGAGCTTTCCCAGGCCTTCTCTCTTGCCAGAGCTTTTCATTTTTGCCCTTACCATAGAGTTGATATTGAGCGGTGAACCTGACGGTTGCGTAAAGAGTCCAGACACAGTAGGTAAGGATTTGCGTTTAGGGGAGACCCCGGAGTTCCCGCTGAGATTCCCAGTAGAGGATCTCTTCCGCCGGCCTCGCTTCTTCCCATCCTGCGCATGTGCTTGGCCACAGTCCAGCCGAGCGCTCGTGGGCAGAGGACTGTGCTTGTTGGAAGGGGATTGTTTTACATGTCCTGTATTAGGAGAGATCGTAAAGATGATTCTTCTCTTGGTCTCGTTCTCAGGATCTGAAAACGCTGCATCAGACTGAAGATCCCCCTTTGTTCCTTCGGCAAACATCTTCTGAGCATCTGCATATTGCAAAACCCCTACCAGGCTCTGGGAGGTGCCATTTAACCTGGGGCTTGTTGAGTGCTGGTGAGCAGGGGAGTTTTGCCCCGAGTTCCTTGACTGCATCATTAGCAAAGGATGTTGTGGAGTGGAACTCCGAGACCCTACTGAGTTAAAGAGACTCCCGGAGTCGTCCAGAGCTGCCTGATCAACACTATGGTTAAGATGGGCTGGGCTGTTTGTAAGATTTCCATTGACTGCCACGGAGCCAGAAGAGTAAGAAAAACCTGTTGAAAGGGAAAGTATACATCATTGCTTCTGCTGAGCGAGAGGTCACAGTGCTAGATTTCAGGGATGACTGGGAGTGGTTTCAGCTCTACCTGTATGAGATCAGCCAGCAGCCGCGTCTTACACGGGAAACTGCACGGCTGCTTTTTACACAGTGCAGTTGAGAACATGGCTCTGCGTGTTGGCGGTTTCAGTTATGGGTTAATGATTTTCACTACTCTTTTGCCAGTTCAGAAAAATCCATGTGTCATATGGAGATATCCTATGCTCTAACCAGCTTTTAAATGGAATTCAAGTGTAAGTTTCTTTTGAGCTGTTACATCTTTTGAAATCAGGACTCCTCCACTCTCAACTCCTTCCAATCGTCAAGGAAGCAAGATGGCCAAATTCAGCCCATTCCCTTCCCCAAAAAAGAAGGGACCATGTCACCTATACAGCCCATCTCCTCAAATTTAAACAAACAGCTGTGGCTTCAGGAGCGACAGGGGATCTTCACAGAGATGGTGGCAGAGGAATGCCACATGGGAGGAAGCTTGGAAAGGGTGTATTATAAATGGGTTTAGTGCTCTAGTAAGGCCTATTCTCTGGGCTGTCTAAATGAAAGGAGTAAAGGAAACACAGTATTGGTTTATAACAAGGTTTTTTTTAACTTCATTAGTTTGATAGAAAGCTGCAGCCAAGCCCTTCTTTGCAAAACAGATGCAAAAAACCAACACAAGCCCCTCGTGGTGGTAAACGTTAAGAACAAATGCACTCTCTGATGAGGGATCCACTGTAGAATAGCTTCTGGATACCAGAACCTACTTTTCCTGTCCACAACATTTCCATATCCTGAAAGGCTAAAGGCCAGTTTCAACAGGTGAGTGACTGCAGAGGCAATGTCTGCACTAAAAGGCATCCCTTCCCTCTCCCATTTGACATTTCTTCCTACCCAGATATTAGTGCCTCTGCAACTGCTCATGAGGCACCACTGTGACCCGCATCAAGAAATTAATTTTTATTATTAAAAAAACTCCACCACCCTGTAAAATAAAAACTTTTAAAGCCGTATCATCAGCTCACAGCACAGTTATGCAACACTTGGCTGGTTTGCCACATGGTAAAGGTAGGAATCTCTTAATCCACATAAAAGAAATTACAAATGCAGTTATTTATTTACACTGCAAGGTGCTACAGTTCAGGTAAAGCACGTCAAACCAATAGTTTATGCCAGAATGCATCCAAGCTGTGGGCACACACTGTCTCAAAACATCACCATCCACAATTCTGTGGTCTCGTTACAAAACACACATTTATCTAGCACTCGACTGCCTGAATGACCTGACAAGTAGTACTCGGAAAATTCCGACGCGTGCCCTTGCGGGTGCTGTCACAACAAGACAGGGCACCTTCGCGTAGATGAGGCTGTTACCTGAGGTAGCCAAAGCCAGTGGCTTGTTTCCAGCAGCATTGCTTACGCCATTATGAGAACTAGCACCAATCTGCTTTTCAAGTGTCGACGAGTCTCTACTCTGATGAACTGGGCTAGGTGTGCTTCTCTGGGGGGAGAGAAACAGGCATTTTAGTACGGGAAGCATACTCAAAAGTCAACAAATTAAACAAAATTCACATGCATTAGTGGATCTACCAAGGAAAGTGGTTCTACTTCCTAAATGTCCTAAATGTTGTTTGTTTAGAGAAAACCATAGATCAGCATGTTATGGGACAAAAATAAATACCGTGATTAATTATACTGCAATAGTATCTAGCACACAACAGATACCATGTGGATAGAGGGAGAACAGGCTCAAAGTTTATAGACTCAAGACAGCACTGCAACCAGAGGATGAATGCCTCAGTCCGCTGTTTCACAGGCAGCCAGAAAGAAAATCGATGGTGGTATCATGTCTCCAAGCCTATGCATACGAAGTTCCTCAAAACAACTCCAAACTGAGCATAAAAATGCATTAGGCCATGTACTCTGGTACACTATCTGAGGGTATGATCATCAAGCAGTGTTTTACAAAAGCAGGCAAAATAATTGTGAAATGGTAGCCTGAAGAAACAATGTGCTGAAGTGAGAGATGCCATCCAGAGCATCCTCTCTGAGGATGCATAACTTCTGCTCGGAGCTGGGCAGACTGCAGTTCTGCTACAACTAAAAGTCTACAGCTGGAAAAAGATAATGGTTTCAATACTATGAAACAACCCCAGCTTTCCACATATGGAATTGTAAGGCAGGAATTTGTGGATGGATTCTAAATTCACAGCTCTCTCATGAAAGCAGCAAATGCTTCTCAGTTCTCTACTGTAATTTGTGAGAAACCGGACCAGGCTTTATAAACTCTTCTGCCACTGAGAGCAGCATGGGCTTATCAGCGTTTCCGAAAGAGACGGCCCCAAAAGTTCTCTAGTTGCTCTCTGCTGCTACACAGCAGTCACTCACACGCGGTATGGACAGCCTCAAGGCGCTATTCAAGTTCATCCTACACACATATGTGATAAAGACAGACAATTTTGAGAGGACCAAACTGAGGCAGAAGAATTTGTCTCCCAGGGTCACATAAGAGGGCCAGGAGCTAAGAACAAACTGCCATGTGTGGTTCTCTGCTTTCACTGTCACAAACTCTCAGACTCTGTGATTTTTCCACTCAGCCAGGCGTTTAAGACCAGGATCTCTTGAGGCATGTACTTTCCTTCCTGGCCGAAATACCACCACCCCACAGACAGAAGAGTCAAAATCTAAGGAATGACTACAAGCCAAGAGGATGCATCCCAACAGCAGCCTCCCCCAGAGCACCAGATATTCTTGATTTGCAGCCCACTACAGATCCTGGTGCACAGCACCCCACGACTGCCCAGTGTGATTTTAGTTAGGGATGGAAAGTGTTGACAATCCCTTACTCACCACCTTCTCAACACGGCTAGGTAGGACTACGCTGGCCAGAGGGATACTAACAGGGAGTTTATTGGGCTGCACTGTGCTGAGAGGAATACTGATAGGTAGGCTGGTGATAGTTTCTCCATTACTCACAGAGGTTCTCTCTCTCAAAACCTGTAAATGCAAAAGAGAAAATAATGTTTTAAACTCCATGCTATTACTGAAAAGACTTCTTAAACCAATGGTAACCTGCTCATTTATATTTTGTCCCCCCACAAAAGAATGACACCATTACTATACAGCAAAGACAGGGCATGCACAGAGCAGGTTTGTTACCAACACCAGTCTACTGGGACAGCAATATCCAACAGCATAGAAAAATGTAAGTTAAAGCTACTGCTGACCCCAAACATAAGGAAAAGAATGCCTTAGGCAAGCTCATTTCCTAGTGTCTTTGTTAGAGCTCTGTGAAAAGCACTCATCTGACAGAATTCATATCTTGAGGGCCTCTGTGTGCAGAAGATGCACTAAGCTATAAATTTTATTTTTTAATATGAAGAAGACTACTTTTCAAGTTAAGTAGATATGCACCAGATCAAATAGATGTCCTACTGCATTACTGGCACACTCCACATGCAAACTAGTAGCTCTGGTAAGCACATTCTCCATGAGCAGAGTATTCTCCCCATCTAGCCAGTACCTACTTTTTGTTCTACCGCACCTACTGTACTTTGTGTTATTCTCCACACCAAGCTGACCACAGAAAGGAACATGCCTGCATCCCCTAGTTTGGCCAACATTTTTTTTTTGTTTTGCCAGGTGTAACATCTCTGCACCTGAGCACAAGCAGATCTCTTACCTTCTCGCCTGCAATTGGTAAGGCCGCTGGGGAAGAGGGCTGAGTTTCCTGAGGACTCAGCTTTATGCCATTTGAAATACCAGGGCTTGGATATGTAAGGCCATTCTCTTTGACATGGTCAGCTCTGGAACAGAAATGTACAACCGTTAGAATACAAAAGCTAATAACTTCTCTTTTGCAAGGAATTCCTGTACCAAACTCAAGGCACTGTACCACTTTATTTACCCAATTGGCTCTCACTGCTCTTTTTCCTGACACAAAATTTCAACAAGTATTTAAAACTCCACTTTAAAAAATATTTTTCCACAGTACAAATAAACCACAGTTATTAAAAACAAGCAATAGTATTACCCCTCCTTTCCCATCGTAGGAAATGGTCACTCTCACCTCTGTATCTCATTAGTTGTTGCTTTTCCATTGACTGCATGGTCTTGATTCAAGTGTCTCCTTAGTGCTATTTTAGCTGGGGAAAACCTGGTGTAATCAGGTAAGGACAAGCTCGTCATCTTGTCTGCCTTCTGTCTGCTGCTGTGGTTTGGGGTACACGGAACTATTTCTTGGTCCAGGTGAGAGGTGGTGTACTGAGGGGTGTTCTGCTTGGAAGAGGGCCTGCTAAAAGTGTTATGAATTTCATAGGGTGTAGCATGGCCATTCATGGACAGTTCAGGGCTCATGCCATTGATGTGGGGCATAGGAAACTTAGAGCATTCAAGTTCCAGCTGGAACCTGCTGTTATCGGCCTCAGGATCACGGCTCAAATGGTTTTTATGGCGTAGCTGTACTGACAGTGACTCATCAGACGGCGTGTACGATTTCAGCTGCATGAGCTCCTGCTGTCTTTGACTTTTCTCGAGTTCCACAATGCTGATCTTTAAATGAAGAAGAGGACAATGATTAATGACCACACTTGACAACTCCATCACATTATGGAGTTTTGCCTTGATATGCTATCCAGGCTGGATTAGTTCTAGTGCTAATCTCATAGACAAAGAAAAGTTCTCCGGTCACAGTAGTTTAATTTATTTTCATAATGGTAAGTGACATTCTGTGGGTACTGATTCCTGAATCAAGATGTCAGAAAATATTATCATGAAGCCACATATGCAAACAAGCAGGACTTCTTTTCACCAAGTCATGCTTTTAAATTATATTTCATGATAAACCATGACTCCTCCTTCCACAGCATTACCAAGGAATCATGTCATAGCATCTACTTCCTTTATAAGTTATCCACTTCCTTATTCTTCAAGTTTACTACAATCCTCTAATAAAAAGATTAATCTCTGGGGGATTGCAGGGCAGGGAAAGGCAGGGGAAGAAAAACAGTTACCTTGCTTATCCTTTAACATCATGTTTAGACAAATACCCTTAACTGGCCAAGAACTACCCCAAGTTGGTGAACCCAGATTTGCTTCTTGTTCTCTACCTGCAATTCCAAACAGTGCTTTTGTTTCTCAGAAATCTGATTCTTCAATGCCTGTTTCTCTTTGAGCAAGTTCTCCAGTGACAAAGTTGACCAATCCAGCTTCAGTTCTTCACACCGTGCCTTAAGCTGCAAAGACACAGGATAAACAGATCAAAAGACAACTTTCAACACTTCACTCAAGGTGAAAGCTGAAAGCCACGCACCTTTCAACTGCAAGAACCTTCTTAGCCCACTGAAAACTCCTCTCAGCTTGAGCCAAATATGCCACTAAAATGGTCACCACATAATATGGCAGGAGGTGGCCTGGTTCTTTCTAAAAACAGTGCTATCACCCAGCCTGCCTAACCACTGCCAAGTCCAGATTTCCCTCTTATTTGCCTTAACAGTTTGAGTTACCAAGATGAACAACACAAGAGTTACGGCTACTGCAAAGCAAGCACTGTACAAGCTTCTCAGCCAGCGAGACCCAGATTCAGTGACAAGTGCACACAGAGGTGCACAGCTGCTTATGGGACACAGCTGAGGCCAGAGCCAACTGTCACTCAGCATTTTCCCCCATCATTCTTCTCTGTCACAGAGGAGCTACAGCTTTTTTCATTTACCAAGATATCATGAAGACAGCGGCAGTCCGCAGCTCACGACCTGTCCTCCTTACATAAATGGGAACATCACCCCACTACCCAGACACAAGCATGGTACACACCAGCTGCAAGCTCCGGTTCCTGAGTTCGCTGTTGTCCTTCTCCAGCTGTTTCGTCTGTTCTTTCAGCTGCTGATTGTGAGCAGAGATTTCCTTCTGAGCCTGAATCAGGTCATTGTATGTTAGAGCTTTAACTCCCAACTACAAGATGAAGAGTGAGAAGAGATCATTCAATAAGGTCTTGACACTCTAATTCCAGATGACTGTCACATTCCAAAGTGACATTGAGGTGACCCACAGAACTAACGCAGCTTACAGAATGTCTCCCAGCATTCTCCAAGGCACTTTGTCATTGCTAGGATAACAAGGAAGGACAAAAGTACCTCACTTGGAGCTGCTGTTCCAGCTATTCAACTTTAAAACTGGCATTTGGTTTCTTGCCAGCCGAAAGAACACTATTTTTGTAGAGAGTCACCACATTTTCTTCTGTGCTTCTCAACTTGCCAGAGTCTATTCAACCAGCAACGGACACTTCCTTCACTAAAATACCACAGTGTTTGTGGTCTGTCAGCCCCCTCCCTTGGATACAGAGTGGCACACAACAATTTCAACAATGAAGATAAAAAAAACCAAAGAGCGATACAGATTCCACATTACTTAACATGATCTGCTGTAAAACAGAGGCTGAAGACCTGAGATTACTCTGGTCTTACTTATTTTTATCAGAACTGTTTGCATGCAGATGACTAACAAGCATCCACTTTCACCAGATCAGGGCTACCTCATCAAGTTTCTGCTGAAAAAGACGTTTGATTTCCTCTTTCTGTGCCTGGCAGTGGGTGAATAACTGCTGTGCTGTCCCCAGTAGCTGAGCATTCTTTTCCTGGAAAAGGGAAGAGTGAAAAAATATACTTTTAGCACCAACTGCAGCATGATCCATCTTAGCAAGATGTTTACACCTAGTTTGTATAGCAAGTTGGGAGGGAGTCTGAACGCAGAGAGGAGATGTATGAACTATTCCAGTTTTCAGACTTCTGTGAGCCTGTTTGTTAGTGTTCAACACTTGCTGAAGTTAGGTAGGCTGAAAAGAGCTTTTTAGTAATTTTTTCTGCTATATGGTAAAATATAATCAGGATAGTCTTAAAAATTCATTTTTATATTCCTAGTGAATTGTAAAGAAATAGTAATAATCACATCCTACAGAGCAGAAATGGAACTGGAAAAGATTATCCATATGAAATCCGTTACTAAACCGGGAATCTAAATCTCCAGAGTCCCAATTCAGTGTTTTCCTACACAACACTCATAGAAGACAGGCGGTAAATGAAAATACACTGTGGGGGAGGCAGGAGGAAAGTAATAAATAACCCAAATCACTTGTACTTGTAATGCCAAAATTACTTCAGCAGGCCACCCAACCCTTCCACTTGCAGAACATTTCCTGCCCATAACATCCCTTATACTCGCTTCATGGTCGTGCACTACGTGAGCAGCAGAGGGCAAGGATAGGACTCGTTATAGAGTCTCATTTATTCAGGTCCCAACTGAAAGATGAGCATAGCAAGAAGAGCAGGCTCTGGAGATTACACTTTTCTCAAACTTTTCTGTTGAGGTCAAATAGGAATTGTGCAGAAACTGAGCTGTGACTCCAGAAAAAGTGGAGGACAAGGGCGAAAAGCACCTTGATCTTTCAAGCAATCCATCCATGAAGCAAAGCAGCAGCACTGGCAAGCTCCACATGTGCAAGAAAAGCCAGGACCTGGCATGCAGCTCCTGTCGCCTCTCATGCCAGCGGCTTGGGAAAAGAGTTGAGTCACTGCAATGCTGAACAGACTGCGAAGGTGATGCTGAAAAAATCATTCATGCTTTCAACATCAGTCACTTCATTCAGCCCTTACAAGCAGTGGAGGAGCTGACAGCTCCATCTAAGGGTAATCTGGGGAACTAGCAGCTCATAGCATCTTGGTTATCTTAAAATCACATTACAGAAATGTTCTTCTTGTAGTCTTCATGTAAGAGGGAGTTATTAAATAGAGAATACAACAGCACCTCATCCAACAAAGTTCTGCTTCTGTTTTTGTGAAGTTTAATTTGCCGTGCTCTCAGTGTAACACTCCATTAAAAAATATTTTCATACTGAATTCCTCACTTTAATGTCTTAAAGTAAGAAACAGCTGTCAGACAACACCACAAAGTGATTACTTTTCCACACTCTCAATTTATACTTTCCATGTACAGCACAATACTTGCACACTATCATTTCTTATGCTATTTTCTGTGCAAGGAGATAAGTTAACTTTATGCTGACTTCCCTGACAAGTACAGAACAAGGAGAAAAATATGCTGCTAAGGAAGAAGTTGAAAATTCAAAGTGCTGACTGACTGCAAAAAGAAATGGAAACAACCATAGAAGAAAGGTTTGCATGAACACCACATCGGCACCAACCAATGCTCAGTAACAAATGGGGTAGCACAAGTTAACCTCTCATGTTGAAAAAGAGTTCCCATTATGGAAAACTTCATAAAACAACACTACAGCTTTATGCTGGCACTTTCACAAAGGCCATAGAGCAAGAGAAAGCTTCCACGGGGGCTACCAAAAGCTGGAATTGGCCAAAAACTCAAGATCATTGTCGGGGTCTATGGGGAAAGTTTCCTCCACTGAAGTAGCAAGTACAGTCTCACTCATCAGGACTAATTTATAAACCAATTAAATTATTCTTAATTGCGGTAAAGCAACACAAGAAGAAAACTAGTTTAGTCGGTAAATGTCCTCCCTCTGCTGGGGAAATGGCTCCATAGCAGAGAAAAATGCTAGAGTTGCAGATTCTTTGTCTTTCCTTTCATTTCCACCCACGATTTGGTAAATTTACACTTTGCCCACCAGTGTCATCTTAACACATTAAGACTATCAATATTAAGGATGCTTCATTAAGTCTCTTAAATCAGTGATGATAGTTTGGCTTTTTAAATCCCACACTTCAACTTGTTCCAAGTTTAATGAGCCATCCTGATGTCACAGTACTATGGTGGGAAAAGAACAGGATGCCTAAAACCAGAAAATTCAGCTCCAAGAAATTACTATCTGTGTGTTTTTTAGATAATACTCCTTCAAAGTTGCTACCATCTTCAGACAATTAAATTGTTCTTAATCTAGCTAAGAGCAGTTTGACTAGCAGCTTGCAGGATGCATCCATGCGGGGAAGCCCCTCCAAGTGAGGGCACGAATGTACTCAGGCAGTGCTAGAGGAGCTGACCACCACCTCCTGCTCCCGTGACCTAGGAGACATTTAGGGAAGAAAAGGAGCTGCCTGGTGTGAAGTGTACACAAATACCATCTTCAGCACTTTCCCCCCCACATCTAAGGTATCTGGTAGTCTGGCAATTCTGTTCAGAGGTGTTAAAAACAAGACCTACCTTTTCCTGCTCCAGTAACTGTTGCAGACTTGCTTTATACTGAGGAGTTTTCATGTATGCCATGAACTGCATGTACTGGATCTTAAAAGAGTCTGCAAAATAAATAAGGAGATGATACATTTCAAATAAGAGAAAATGCAATGCTCCTATTTACCCCTCTTTGCTTCCTAGATACCTCTCCCTCCTTTGCTCTGTCTTGCTTTTTATTTGGACTGCAAGTTAGACCAAGCCATTAAAGATCAATTTACAGCATGCTGAAAATCCATCTTCTGAGGCAAGCTAAACTCATGGATCCATTAGTTACTTATAATAGATACCCCAAAGGAAGCCATGACAACGCATTCAAAACCGCAAAGGAAGACGATGGGTGCTAATGGTGTGTTTGCATGATGAAAGAGGAGCTCAACGGCTTTTAATGCACTGAAAGCAGAAATAACAAAAGATATCAGCTGTAACAGCCAAAACCAGCCCTGAGCACTCATTCTCCCAGCATCAGGAGACAGGGCTTGCTGTACTCCTACCTCCAGACAGACAGGTGACAAGCTCTACACCCACATTTACTCTACCCTGCAAGGAGCACTTGCTTCTCATCGCCCTTCTGTCTACAGTCTTGTTATGCAATGAACCTTCCCTCACCCAGCGCTCACCACTGGGACCCTTTCCTCAGAAAGCCAAGCACATGATTAAGTTCAGGCTGCTGCGATCACAGGCAGCCCCAAATGTGAATACATGGTAAACAGACTTTTGCAGCAAGGTTTACTTCAGAAAAGCATTATTCTCTCCCCTCCCAAAATGAAACATCCTAGAACTCACACTTCTTCTCTCTCTTTCTTTACAGTAAGAAATCAGTCACAACTGTGAGACACCACAGCATGAGAGCAGGAGTTAAGGACATCACAGATGCCCTTGGTCTCTACATAGACAGGAACACTACATCAGAGTCCCAGATGATCCCACTAGACTGGCTTATGCCCAATGCCAAATCACAGAACCACAGAATATGAGGAGTTGGAAGGGACCTCGAAAGATCACCCAGTCCAACCCCCCTGCCAGAGCAGGATCACCAGACCAGGTCACACAGGAATGCATCCAGGCGGGTTCTGAATGTCTCCAGAGAAGGAGACTCCACAACCTCTCTGGGCAGCCTGGGCCATGCTCTGTCACCCTTACAGTAAAGAAGTTTTCCCTCATGTCCACACGGAACGTCCTATGCTCCAGTTTGCACCCATTGCCCCT